CAGCTATCCAGTGCCTCCAGATTTTCAACGGTTCCCCAACTAATGTCAGTCCATGATGAATACTACTTCTATATATGATTATTATTGAAAAAGCCGTTGCCAATTATTTCGCTGTTTACTTCTTGAAGGATATTCCTATTTCATTGTGCAAATGGACAGAGAAGTTAATACGTCATGCACCAGAGATACTCTATAGCCTTTTATATATGTGACTTTAGTATTTCAAAGACGTTCGTTTGTTGGTTTCTTCACACTATAGTGAGGTGTGTTCCACCGATGCACAGTTCCTTAATACAAGCATCCTGGTTGTTCCAAGCCCTTGTGCCACCTGGCACACTGCCTTGCCTGATTCATGGAGTATTCATAAACAGGTGAAACTCTCACTACACGAGGAAAGTATCGTAATAACACGCACCCAAATGTGTACACAACCCGTAATACTTTCACCCCTGGAAATTAACAGTTTATGTCATATTTCTAGAACCAGTCAATCAACACCTTTTATTGAGGGACCTTGATCATCAGAAAACCTCATATCTAAGCTCTGTAGCACAGAAGGTGCAATATTCAAACTATTTGTATCATAATAAAGCGTCACCGTTACCTTTGTTCAATGTCCAATATAGAGTATAATCAGTTTGACTATCTGAGATAACTGGGTTTTGGTAGACTTGCATTATTGATACTGGGTGATGATTGAAGGTGACATGGAAATTTGGGCCGTTACAGAGTTCCAACTTGAGGCCTGCTGGTACTCTATCCTGATTTAAGTAAAGGGTTTGGCTCAGTTGCTATTCCAATTCATCACGGGTTACTATCACTCGACTGAAGCGAAATAGAAATTTGATCGGGGGCCAGATCTTGTAACTTAGTTGGTACAGCAACGGAATGGAAACCCTGTGGTCTCTTATTTGAGTCCTGATGACGCCCAGATTTTCATCTTACCATCAATAATCACCTAGAATAAGACTGTGGTCAAATTACTGATTATCAACTTTAAAACTTTCTCCTGACATTCTTTTCATTTTCTGAGTAAGTCTTATCTTTGATTGACAGGAATATTTAATAAAAGCCATAATCCTATCCATCTGATTGTAAGTAATTGATATATTTTGAAGAATATATTCAGGAGATTCATTTTTCTCACTATTTATGCAAAAAAATTAATAGCGACTGGCGAAAATAATCTATCCATAGACATTTTCTTAGTAAAAGAATAATGATTATGTGCAGAAGTGCTGACTAATTAGAATTATTTGAATGGATACGCCAGACATGCAATACAATAAGTGGAAGGTCATTTAATAGTGGTGTACGACTTGAAAATATATAGATGACTTATGAAATAGCGGAGAACATCTGTAGCTCACGTGGATGGTCTTGGTTGTGTTGTGTTCTCGAACCCAAAATGGCCAAGGAAACTATGTCCTTTCTGCTCAACGAAGACACAAGCCTTACAGAACGCACAAAACTCAAATGTTCAAGTCTGATGGAACTCATCTACCTTGGTCTGACAATATACTTCCAATTCAACGGCAAGATATACAAACAGATGAATGGAGCTCCAATGGGATCACGGATATCCAGACTAATTGCAGAAGCAGTGATGCAGAAACTGGAAGCCATCATCCTACCTGTGATCAAACCGGAATTCTGGATTCGCTATTAGGATGACACTTTTGTCATCATTAAAAAAGATGATATAGAAAACATCCATAGCTTGATCAACAACGTTTTCAGTGACATCAAATTAACAGTGTAGAAGCAGTCAAACAATCAGGTACCATTCCTGGATGTTCTAGTAATTAGGACAAGTGCCGGAAAGCTGGAAACACAAATGTACAGGAAGCCAACACACACTGACTGATCAACTACATTAGCAACAACCCACAAAATCAGTTGCGTGCAGACTCTATTCAGAAGAGCAGCAACACACTGCAGAACAACAACTTCACGGAGAAACCAAGAAAATTACTTGATGTCCACCATAAAGAAGAACGGCTACCCACGAAACTTTATGAGAAGATACCTATCCCGTACATCATCAACTACAAAGTCATCGACAGAAATCAATAAACGCACCACCCTACCATACATAAAGAATATATCAGAAATCACGACAAGATTACCGAGACCACTTGGAATTGGTGTGGCTCACAAACCAACAAATTCTCTCCAAACACTATTGTGCAGAGCAAAGGGATGAGACAACCAAAGAAGACAAACCAAATATTATTTGCAAAATCAACTACATTGGACAAAAAAGCCGGTCTCTTCGCCTTCGTCTACATGAGCACTAATTGGCTATTAAACGTCACACACGACATTTCATCACTCATTTCAATGCACCTGGATAATAACGTGGACATGAATTCAATTTCGACAGTGTAGAAATTTTGGACGGAGAGAGGAAACACATAGAGTGTCAGAGAAATCCTAGAAGCTTTGCATTCAGGTCAGTCAGTCAACAATCAACAAATGTATAGACACACCGAATCTATCAGCCAATAAGAGAAATCATAAAGGACATGAAGGTCAGAGGTGAGGCAGAGGAACAGCCAACAGGAAAATCTATACAATCAATGACACAACAAACAAAGGAAACAATCAATCATAGACTGCTTTGTAAAGGCAAGCTACTAAAACACTCACGAAAAGATATTGACAGCTCACTTCATACTGAAGTTAGTGATGATGATATCACTGTCTAGAAAGACGATGAAAGCGTCTTCACGATTAAACAACCCAGCTCAGAGGACAGATGACTCATAATGCAAGTCGTTCATAAACATCAAGCCAAAACACCTATTAAACTGATAGCTGAGTCTAGTGTTGGTAGCCAGCAGCGAAATACTACGTTTCATCTTGCTGGTTATTCATCGACCCTCCTTCCGGCCAAATTATATTGTAATAAGCCTTCAAATGATATTTAGGCTTTCACGTAGGAGCTAATATATCAACCACCACCACTCTGTTTGCTCCAAAAGTCAACCAATAAGGTTGAATAAGTGTTAAATCTATTGTACAGCTGAGAACGTTATCAACTTCTCAAATGACATTTTTTGTGTACCTAATTATTCTGTAAAAACTATCTGGATACACGGTGATGATTGGAGGTGAATTGCTCGAATTCAAACTAGTACCCATCGGGTCTCTGGTCTAGTGCTCTACCGGTGATCGTAACCATGTTACTATCACTTGATCGAAGTGAGATAAAAATCTGATCAGCAGTCGGGGTTCACAACTCAGATTGTAGAGTATTGAGTCGGTAACCTTGTTGTTGCTAGTTTGAATTCGACGGCGATCCAAATTTTCATTTCACCTTCAATCATCACCCTAGTCTACCAAACTTTGGTTATCTCAGATAGTCAAAATGATGAAAGAATATCTGTTCAACGGTCAATTCAATCAAATCAAAAACATCTTGTTTAATTTGTTCAGATCATTTTTAGTATATTTCTAAGGTAACCTGCAGATGGGGACTTCAAATGCAATCTAACTTATTTAAAATTCTGCCAGAAATAAAATTTCTCTGTTCTTAAAAATTCTTTAATCGAATGTAGCATTAGAGAAATGTTATAAACTAATGCTCTCTTTTTTATAGATATATGAGTGAAATCTCTTCTGAAATATGGAATGACAAGTCTTGACTAGGAAACAAGCCTGAGTACAACCAACCTACAGTAATGCCTTACGATTTCACATGATGGTTGGGCAAACCACTATGGTGATTGGAGCGAAATAAAAGTCTAGTAAGCAGTTGGGTGTCCCAGATCAGCTGGTTAAGCATCAGGCCGGAAACCCGTAAGTCACTAGTGGGAACCCTACTGTAACCCAGATTTTTGATTTCACCTTCAATTATCACCTAGAGTCAATAATACAAGTCTGACAAACCACGTCCAACTCAGATTTTCAAACTGATCAAACATTACCCCAAGTAACTATACCATGCTACAGAAGAGAAGAACATGCAAATGTTGGAATCATGTTACTATATTCAGTATTCAATTTTCTGAATGATCCTTACCTTCTGTATTGACCGTTTCGATAAAAATGATCTAAAACATTCCCGTACAACTACATTTGGAAGATGGTGCAGATTGAATAATTTCAAGCTGGTATTCATTACAACCTGATTGACTGACATCATTTGAAGAACCAGTCACAACGTGGAGGCACTGGACAGCTGTTTTTTACTGACATACAACTTCTCAGCAGCACACAACTATGACCCAAACAGGGCTCAAAACCATGACGTTAGGGGTTCAAGTTCAGTAACTTACTATTAGGCCACTATGTCCGATCTCAATAATTCACATTCTGTGACTTCTATGCATTGTTAATTCACCAACATGAAATAGATAAATCCTCACAAACCTCCATAATGAATTATTTTGCATCACTTATTAATGACTTTCTTCAAGATGAGCTTTGTTGAAGTTCTAATAAGACCAGTGGAGAAAACCAAGAAGGATATAAGGACATATACTCAAAAATTGCACTAGATGAAGATCACACCATATAGTGAACTGACAGAAGTGGAAAAAGTAAATCAGTGAATCCTGATCAAGTGGTTCAATGGTGTGAAACCTGAAGGTCATGGGTGCACAGGGCTAACGATTACCATACCAGGACAAAACAGTCAAAAGTTTCCTCCAACTAATGTCAGTCTGTGATGAATGGCAACTTGATTTCAACTTAGTATTTGTTTAAAGAATAAACGATGTCGTCTGTATTCGTATGACAATTATTACCTCATTAAAATTGGCATGGAAACAACTTCGAAAGTATTTCTTTTTTTTTTGATTAAAATTGGCGCTTACTAACTATTTTGAAGCTTATGGTGTGTTAAAACAAGTAACCTAGTTAAATTATTGTTTGAGATATAAACATATCTATCGGTTTTAAGTGAGAGCTGATAAATTATCACTACATGGTTATTAGTAAATAGTTTGATGCAAATTTCTTAAATATATCGGTAACAGGTGAAGAAACAAAATCAAATTTTAGATAGTATAATGAGTTTTTGTACACAATATTCAATTGTCCAATATCCAGTTATGATTACGCAAAGATAGTCATCTAATTATATGCACAAAATAAACATCTGTGAAATTTTACGATTGTGTAGTAATTCACCTTTATGTGATTAGATGATTCCACCTTATCTGCTAAACGGTAAATTAAGTAGCTGTATGCGTATATATCTGCAGAAAATCTTGGAATGACGATGAACAAGAACGGTGGGAAGTTAGATATTGGGATTTGCAGCAGTTGACAAATACGGGACTGGAATCTTGGTAGTCACCTTCAGTCATCACTCACTATCAATACTTAGTTATAGTTTGAAACTTTACAGTACTATTAAACGAACTGGCATGAGCACAATTCAGGTGAATCAAGCCAAGATACCGACTAGTTTTCACAATGTATGCTCATTGAAAAGTGTTTCTTCAACTATAAATAAAGCATTAGGTTTTAACAAGAGCAACATGACTTGCTTTTTCTGCATTGACTCCCATTTATTCACCGAACAAGTTCAAAAGATAAGGTTGAATATTGTACAATGGGTAAAACTTGAACAAGATTGTAGATCGCTTCTACAATGATAGGTCAACTAAGAGTGATCAGTCAGTCACTTCCCACAGACGAGTTTCAGTAGGTACAAAGCCTACATTCATGTCGTCTTGTCAATCATCTCCAACCAATTAACATATCAAATTATATACATTATCCGTAGTAGTACCATTGTGAACATCAACAGGATTTCAAAAGAGTCACTCTACCAGATGTCATAACCTTCTTTCCTTTGAATGGGTTGTTCACATATCGTACAAAATTTTCCATGCACTCGTCAACGAGGAGAGAACGGAAATATATGTTTAGCTCTTAAACAGAACACTTAGTAAGCTCGAGAAACTCGATCCATTGAAATGTTTTACAAAGTATGATGAAGGCATTCGAAAGCAAAGAAGTTAAGATATCTGAACATAGTTGAAGCCTGAATCGTGGTTATGCATTCAAAACAAGTATGTACATCGTCTTTCTTTGTCATGGGCATTGTAGAGTATGAATCACTCTAGATAACTCCTGATTTAAAACACTTACAGACATTACATAACCCTTCTTTGTAACACGATTTATACAGACTATTGACCAGAAATCACTCTAGAATGTTCTATTCTTTCCACTATGCATTCACAAATGCACAATTGACAGACTAATTTCATCGATAAACAAAACGTTTCTTCACAGCAGTTGTCTTCTGCTTTTTTTCAATGTTAATAAAATATGTATTTTCTTTGAATTGAATAAAAGCGCAAAAGTTTAAAAACATACTACCTTTCAAAAATCTCAGAAAGTCATATTTGGATTGTAATCAGCCTAATGAAAATTATAATTATTACTACTTGTCCCCTCGGTTCCTAATGAAACATAGGGATTCAGTAGCACGTCTCCATTCTACTTTGTCCAGTCGTTCTCCACTTCCTCCTGCTTATCGGTTGAGTGATAGGTTCTTGCTTCGTCAGTTCGTTAGCAGCCTGTGTGAGTTCCTTGTTGCTTATTCTTATTATTCTGGCCATTTGATCTTCAGTAACGAGTCAGCGTAGTCACTTGTTGATTAACATCTGTAGTTTGTTGAAAATCCCTTTCGTAACGCACCGCCAAGTCTCTCAACCATCACATAGAAGCACTAACTTGACTGACACTGGTATTGAAAATCCGGATCCGGATGTTGTTCAGGCTTTATGCTGAGTGCAGAAGATCTCCATACTGCTTTCAGGTTAATGCATGAAGGCCTGTGCTGCTGTCTTTCCGATCCTGACTGGCTTTGACATCCTCGTCTGTGCCTGTGCCGCCTGTAGTTGAGACAGTGCTGCCCAGGTAGGTGTAGGTGAAAGAGACAACTTCCTTTCAGTTTCTCCCATTGATGGTGATTGGTGCCTCTTGTTGTTGGTGGTGGTGTGGTGTTGGTTGGGTATCTTCATCACCTCTGTCTTCTCTACATTCACTTTGAGTTCAGTCTTCGCTGCACTGCCTTTTCTGTCGACTTGTTAGTTTTTGTCCGTAGATCTTCAAGTATGTGTGACATAGGACACAAGTCATCAGCGAAATCCAAATCTTCTAGGATCTTTTCCTTGGTTCAGCTTTTCCACCTCTTCTCACAGCTCCTCACAGTTTGTTGGATGATCCAGTTCACCACAATCAGGAAGACAAATTGTTTCGTCTCTCCATAAGCACACTGTCATTTCAGACAAGAAATTAATAATGTAACTAGCAATATACAACAAGAACTACATCGCTTTTTACTATACTGGACCTGAACAGCATTTTACATGATTATAGAAAATCTAAATGACTGAATTTTATCTGTTATTATCATTTGCTGAAATACGTGTAGTTCTTCTTTGTTGTACTGGGTCGAACTGATCAACCACTGTTAGCATATGAGGTCCACATGGTTACCTAATTGTTTATTGTTTTAATTTACTTGGTTGTGATTAGCAGGGAAATCCAGCTGGATGTGCCTGCCTCGCAGTGAGCGTTATGGTTCCTATTGGCACTCGAACCCAAGACCGATCAATTGAAATGCCAGAACTCTGACTACTAGACCACTGAATCGCAATGGCCACTTCTTGTGCGATGGGTTTAGTTTTAATGTTGTTACCTCTATTATCGCACCACTGAATAGATCAAACTGATCGGTCTCTATTGGCATATTGACTCCTGTGTGAATATCTCGATATTGCCAGTGTTTGAGTTATTTATTGGTGAGTAATAGTGGTTAGCAGGTGAATCCAGGACGCTCTTATTGTCCTGACTGAAACTCGAACCTCATACCCATTGCTACAAACGTTAAAACATTATTCACTAGGCCAGTGTGCACAACAGCCACCTCTTATAAAACGGGTATTAGTTATTATTATTATTTTTTGATACTTGCAATCTTCATTGTTATACTGGACTGAATTGATCGACTTTTGTTTGCACATGGTCGCCTGTGTGGATACCTCGGCATTGTCTAGTTATCTACTACTAGGTTTGCCAGACTTGGTTACTTCACCTTCTTTATGTTCATCTGGTCAAATCACTTTGCAATATCACTGTTAGCGTAAAAGTTGATTTCTTGATTAGCATAATTTAAAGGTAGTATTCATTACGAACTGACATCATTTAGGGGAACCACTGAATATCTAGGAACACTCGACAGCTGCTTCATCCCAGTATGTGACTACTCAGCAGTACGCACCCACAAGCCGGCTAGAGATTGAACTCAAGGCCTTCAGGTTTCACGGCGAACGCCTTAAACATTCAACTACTGGGTTGGAGTTTAGCAATTCACGGTTTCTAACTTCTGTCAGTTCACAATCTAGAATGACTGTCACCCAAGGTGTTGAGTTGGCATCTGCTTCCCTTCTGACTGGTTGACCGTACAGGTCATTAGAACTTCATGATATCCATCTGGAAGTATAAAAGCACTGATGTCAGTGCGTGCTGAATACTACCTGTAAATTAAAATCCCTATCTGCCTCAAAAATATATAGCCTAGTTAATTTAGTATTAGTTGGATAGGGGCAATTGACAGGAAGCACTGAACCTAGATTTCATGCTTGTCGGCAGTCGTCAGCAAGGCGTATCTGCCACCTCTACTGAACTGGTGTCCCGCCTGGGATTTGAACCCTTGTCACCTAGTGACCAATCAATGTATCTTATCCAGTCCTACAGGAGGTCAGAAGCGACCTGAATGGATCATTGATAACGTGACTGACTACAACACTGGGTAACGTGGGTTCGAATCCAATCCAGGATATCTGTTCCGTCCGGCTTGCAGATACGCTTTCCTGACGAGTACCAACAAGCACGAAATGGATGTCTAGGGTTTCCTGCTGATTTCCCCTATCCATCTCACACCTATCAAAGTACATTGCTATCCTGAGCTGGCTGCCTAGTCTGGTGGCCACATTGCAAGGTGATCGTTAGAATTCGGTCAGCACATAGGACTAGACAACATGAAGATGGTTACCCCCCAGGGACCAATTAGTATACTTAGTTTAGTCTTCTGAGAAGTGAAACTGGTCCAATGCAATCACTGTTACACGTGAGGATAACTCTTGAACTCATAAAAGCAAACCATCAGACAACATTTTTAGTACATAACAAATCAAAAAATTGCCTATAGGTGTATGAACGGTCAGTCAGAGGAAATCATGATAGCTACTATACTTCTGTACAGATGTGAAGATTGTGACCGAAGTGTTATAGTTTTGACTTGATGAACACTGCCTAAACGCTTACTTCATCATTATTCCAACTCTAATGAAAGTCAGATAAAGCTGGAAGTATAAATATATCGAAACTCAAGATTTACCGAAGAAACTTCAGTATCATAAGTTCCGATACATGTCAGAAGTCTACTTTCTGTTAGAAACCTACGGTTTCCTATGCAAATAATAAAAGTACTGTGAGCATGATCACTGAATAATAAATGATTAAGCTTTCTCACAATCTTAGAAAGAATTTTCAGCATTTATCGAATAAATGATAATATTATGAATAAATAAATGATTTTAGCGGGTAACTTATTGAACAAAGCAAGTCGTTCTTAAATAAAGAAGCAAACTGAAAGCAAGTCTGTTTGTCTATCATGTACTCAGTTGCTAAGTTTGCAATACATGTATCAGTAGCTGTTTTCCCTGAAGCTCACCTCAAAGCAGGTTAGTAATATCAATAAATTTGTTTGTAAAGTAAGTGGGATATTACTATTTGTTGATATGCTTGTAGTTCTCCGTTGCTATACTGGATCGGATTGTTCAACCTTTATTGGCCCCTCTATGGGCTCCCATCCAGGTGGTTTGATTTTTATTTTTAATATTAGCTGTCCTTTCGGTTCATAGTGCAACATAAGGCTTAAGTTGAACGTCACCATTTCACTCTCTTCTCTTCAGTCTCCTCGACCTGGCTACACCACTGCCCACAAACTTTCATTTCTTCTTCACATAATCTCCTTCATGTCACCCTCGCCTTGGAAGCCCAACTCGACCTTTATCATTTGGCTTCCACTCAACGGCCTGGTGTGAAATGTCCTTAAATGGTCTTCTCAGTGTATGCCCAACCCAATCCATCTCCACTTTATTCTGCATATTTGTTGGGCGATAGGTTCTTGGTTGGTTCGTCGCCAGCCAACCACAGTTCTTCCTTGCTTATTCTTTCTAGCCTTCTCATTCGATATTCAGTATCGAGCCAGCGTAGGCAGCTGCTGTTCATGTATATCTATACTTTGTTGGAAATGTATTTTATAACGCTCCAAGTCAGTAAAGCATCACATGGAAGCACTGACTAAACTGATATTAATGTTGAAAATCCAGGTCTTGTTCAAGGTTTATGCTGAGTGCAGTTCAGTGCAGTAGATCTTTACACTGATTTCAGATTAATGCATAAACGCCTGTCTTGCTGTCTTTCTGATCCTGGCGTTGACGTTGTTATCTGTGCCTGTGAAGCCTGTAGTTGAAACGATGCTGCCTTGGTAGGTAGGTCGGAAAAAGAGACAACTTCCTTTGGATATCATAATAAGTGAAATATTATTCTAAACCTTCTCCAGAAACAAATATCAGTGTAACAATTGTAATCTCCGAGCTCCATGTACAATGAACCGTGAGTCATGGATTCTACTGCTTAGCCATCAAGTAGAATGCAATATATTGAATATTTAGTCAGTATCCAGATGTCTTCAAAGCAGCCCATCTACCTAAGACATGCAGATTAGTTGAACCGACTATAACAACAGAAAGTTACAAGTATTAATCCATCATCATCCAGATCAACCTAGTATCAGGCATTACTGCTTTACGGTCCGAGTTGCCACACCTCATATCAGTACATCAAGTAAAGAGGCAGTGAGGTGTAAGATGAAGATAAGGGAATGCAGTCAAAAGAAATATAGAGTACGAAAAGAAAGAAAGGAAGAATGAGAAAGTGGTGAGATTTGGTATAGCGTTGTTAAGATGAGGATAATTTATTTATACATCTGCGCCAATGACATCAACTCTGAGCCATATCACCTAGAGTCAGTCTCCAACCACTGATTCTTCTTGTCCCGCGAACCCCAACCACCTAGTCTGTATCACCCCACATGGCTCAAACCAACAGTCAGAGACTTTATACATTGGTGTCATATTTTAGTTTGGCCATCCCAAGCCTTTTTCCAGCCTAGACCTATTTCAGCCAACATTGTATTCATAAACAACCTGTCACAACTTGTGATTATTTTGACGCTCTAATCTGAAAGATTTCATATTGGCATTTAAAGGTGTACATGTGAAGCATTTGCTACTTTCAGGAGTATAGCTAAACAACTTACAGACAAGTTAGGGTGGAGGTTTATTGTAATGACATGCATGCATATATATATATATATATATATATATATATATATATATATATATATATATATATATATATATATATATATAAGACACAAAACTCACCAGGAGTAGGGGCGCACTCATTCGTGTCGGCAATATGATTAGCTTCCAGTCTACTAAATCGATTAGGATTCCATGACCAGTATTCACCTTCTAGGCTTAAACTGCTGCCATCATCTGATCCATCCTCTTCGTTCTTGTTTTCACGTAATTTCCGTGGTAAAAAGGCATCATCATCAATATAAGGGACATCATATGTACCTTCAGGCATACCTTCTTCTAAACTTCTAACACTTATACTTTGATCCACTTTAGATGGTGTCACAGAGTCTGGATACAAGTAATCATCATTAACTGATGGTTTAGGCTGTAGACGTCGTTTTCGACGAAATTCATTACGCTCCAGTGTAACTGCTCTTTTTTCACCTCTCGAACAGAATCTATGCATGAATATCTATTCTCATTAAATTTTGACTTATTATATCTATCTAATGTTTTAGTTCGTCTAGATCGATCATTCAATGTGTTATGTCTTTCAACTGGTAAATATTTAGCTATAAGTTCTGCATAACGTTGTTCAAATTCTGTTCTTTGTTCACCTTCTGAATTTAAACTGACTTCATCAATATCAGTAGTTTGTTTTTGAATTCTTCGTTTTACACTGAAATCATTTGAAGATACACTTTCATAAACTTCATTATGCAATATTTGTGATGAAATATTTTCTTCAATATTATTTTTAACAGATTCATTGAACAGTCGATAATCCACGTCGATGACTTCATTTTTAGTTTGTATTCCTGTAGACAATGCAGCTTTATGTAATTCATTAACATCTTGAATAGGTCCAGATAAATTCAATAGTTCTGGATTGTTGTCTTGAAGGTATTCAGCTGTATGTACCTCTTCATTTACAATATGCTCTGTTGCAAATGACACTGGACCATTGTTATTGAGGATAATCTCTGCTGTTATCTTGTGTGATATAAGGTCATATTGACTAGAAAGTACATCTTTATTATTATTCGACGATTCTGTAATTGGTTCTTGAAGATATGATAAATCATCTTCTACTTTGTGACCTAAGTGATCATGTAGTTGTACTTCTTGAATATTCTGCACATCATTAATAAATGGTGAGAAGTTGTTTGTGGATATCTTCTCAATTAGATCATTGGTTGTTTCATTTATTGATTCAATTGTTTCTTTACTTTCAAATAAACTACTTCTACTGAGATTTTCTTCTATTTCACAAGAGGTAGAGTTCATTAGATGATTGTTGAAAGACAATTTTTCCTCTTCAGTAATGAAATTATCTCCAAGTGTATCAGATTTATCTTCTTTAATGGAGATATCTAGTGAACGTAAAGATGCTGATTTTAGGTCAGATGGTATGCGTAATTCATCATGTATCTCCTCGGTGTTTATCTTATTTTCATCAGTTTTGTCTGTAATCAGTAACTCTGTATGTGATAATGGTTCTTCCATTTTCATCTGTGTCATCTCATCAGTCTTTCTACGGGATACGTTAGTTATGTCATCATGAAGTATAACATTCTTCTTATCGATGCCTACTTCCTTATTCAAATCATCAGTTGGTTCTGCCAAACATTTTTCAGAACTCATCCTGTTTATCTTTTCAGAATCTTCAATATATGGATCAATTCCTTCTGCAGTCTCACTGTCATCATTTGTATTATCTTGATATTCTAAAGAGTCAGGGTTACTAATACTTATGTTATCTTTACTTTGCTGGTTAGAAGTAATTTCTAATTCATTAGTCAAGTGTTTTTCTGTTACTTGACTTTCATTTTCATTATGTAAACTAATCAATGAATCTTGGGATGGAAAGTTTTGTTCAGAAGTCACATCAGTAGATTTTCCAGCAGTTGGTTGTTCGTCAGTAATGTCAGTTATCTCTGGCGTTTCAAAATGAATTACACCTTCCAATTCATCACATTGTTCATTATATTCAATTTCACCTTCATATTCCACTTGTTTTATATCTTTATAAGATCCTTTGTCACATTGTATGTCATCGCTTTCTTTATTGAATGAAGGTGGATATAATTCCTTACTAACGGATTCATTATGACTATAATTTTCTTTTTCATACTCTGGTACAGTTTTTTCCATAGTCTCCAGATTTGTCGACACTTCACTTGTATCCTGATCAAATGTTCTATCAGAAATCTCTGCTACATTTTCAACCATTACAGATCCTTGAGTAACGTTATCTGAGTCATTAGTACTCAAGTGGATGTCATTCTGTTGTTCTCTTCCATAAGGCACATCACCAACTGCCTCTGTAGACGCTTCCTTATTTAATTCAAACTGATCAGATACGGGATTTGTAGATAATTCATCAGTAACTTGATAACTGCTTGATTCATTCATTGTTCTGTATTAGTTACTTGGAAGTTTTACGTTAATCATACAGTTAGAAGGTGAAAAATCAATATTCCACAGTTTAATAGCTAATCTGTAAATCTATCTTTATAATAATTCCAGTTCAATTGTTTCACACAACTTAGTTATATAAATTTTAGAATTATCATACTGTCAGTAATCATAATAATAATGTCTTTGAAATAGTTAACTGTAAAAATCGTAGGATTTCAATAAACCTGTTTTGTAATTTGATTGGTTGATAGAATGGCCATATGAAATCAAGTATTTTAGAGCAAATGTTAATTATATCAATTATACTACATGTGAATTGTACCATTCGTTAAGAATCTTTAGATAAAAATAAATTATTTCTTCGTTGGTTGATTAAAGTAGTGAATCCCCCAGAAAAAGCTTCAATTTGTATGTTCAGACGTTTCAATTAAATTTTTTCAAAAAAAAGTATTATTATTACTATATTTAGACTAAAGAATCGATTTAAAGCATAAGAAACACTTTTGAACCAATCAAATTACAGTATATTGTGGCCAATCAAAACTGATAGACAGAAGACTGTTTATAAGAGGTGATGAAGGAAAATATTTAAATTATGTACAAGCATGTTCAAATTTCAAATTAAGCAGACTGTGTTGTAACTGAAAATCTGAAATCAATAACTGATATTTATGCACTGATTAGTGAATTAAGAGTAGTCGGAGAAAGACTTGGTCATAGGTTTCGTGCATTTTGGTACTTGTCAGGATGGTGTACTTGCAATCGTAAGAAGAATGATGTCCCGCCTGAGATTAGAACTGGCATCACACAATGTTATAATTGGTGAGCTAGTTAGACCGTGACTGGCCTCCTGCAAGACTGGATTGGATACACTGATTGGTCACCGGGGGCTAATCAACTTCATGTTGTCTAGTTCCATGTCTTGACCGGATAATATCAATCATTTTGCAGTGCGATCACCAAGCTAGGAGTCCCAACAAGCATGAAACCTATGATCCTATAGTTTTTGCTGATTTCCTCTGAATGACATCCACTAAAATGGGAAGTCACTATAGGCTTTCTGCGTAGGCCATTTTCTCCCCGTTCACTATCGAGTGCACAGGACGAACCTATCCTAAAGTCCAGAAAATAAACTTAGAGGGTTAGTAATAGGACTATGGGCGTAAAACAAGTTCTCCACCAATCTGGCAGAAATAATGGTCAACTACCAATAATCTGTAAGGATTCCGTCAAGAGAAACGCAAAAGACAAGGCAGGCGTAGTAAGAGCAAATCAAGAAAGAAGAGGAAATGAAGCATATTTTGCAGATGACAGTTTTAGTGCAAGTTGTACCATATTTAACTACTACTCTCCCACTCGTTGACAATAAAAGTTTTCCCTGCATACCGGCGTTTGGTTTCTCTCATTTAGTCTCGCTGCTTCTGGATGTGATGAAGATTCCGTGGCCTTCAGAGTTCAAGGATGGAGAAATCAGGGTCCAGTCGGTCGCGGAGGTGGTAGATGTCCGGGATCCAGGAGCGAAGGTGGTGGTACTTGGCACATTACTGATGGGTAGAGTGACAGCAGAGTATGACGGCGTAAAACGTAGACATGGGAAGGAGACTTGGGCGAGAATGGTTGAACGACTGGAAGTGTAGTTGGACAGGCTGGCGGACAGGGAGCTGGCAATGTAGTAATTCTGGAACACAAAACTTGGAATAGACTAGGATCCACTGGTATTGGCTGTGAAATTGACCGAACTACTTGTATCCATTCTTATCAGCAACGCCCACTACAATAAGTCCATGACACTTTTGTATCGTAGACCATACCTTATGATCTTGGCTGGCTGGTAGTTTCTCACGCGAAACCCTATTGACACCCCACTGTTGGTTAACAGTTGAAAAACTACTCACACATGAGATTTATGCATTTTTAAGCCTTTGCGTAGACATCAAACAAGGCTGAATATTGACCGGAAGCGAGTTGAAGTTTTTATAGTTGGGTTAATGGTTATCTATTTGAGACTGGAGTTATGAGGTTTGACGGTCAAGTGTAAAAAAGGAAGAAATCTAAGGTAGTTTCAGTGGGAATACCTGCTGCCTTTCCTGCATGACTGAGGTTGTTTGATCCCGATTGCCACCACTTCTATGGTTTGAAGGACTGTGAGCTGGGTACCTTTAGGTGAGTCGATGGAAAGTAGTCCCAGAATGGAGAACGACTCATTTATATTCACCTTATCGTTCTTTTCAACCAAGTGCACTGATATAGGCCTGGCAATCGTCTTTGCCGTGCCTTTACTTGGCCACGCTGGGAGCAGAGTCGACGTAACTGGTTCCACAGTGGTAGTCGAAGTGATAAGCACAAGAGGAATAGGTCAGGTTAGGCAATTCATCTCTCAAACTTGGTGTCACAATTCGACGTGTGGTAAAGGAAATTCGTAATTAATAAATTGCTAGCTGCTATTGAATAAGCTTCTGGTCTACAATGAAGAATCAATAAAAAGTGAGCGTAAGTCTTATGGTTGCAGTTCATCCAGCCAGTACAAGAATCTGGAGCTTAATCTAAGTATCCAAGGGATAACAGATACAATGTAATTTTCCACACTGAGTAGTTCACTTCCACGCAACATGAAATTTTTGGCTGTTTAATTGAGAAACGGTAAGCTAAAAATATTCTAAGAGGAGGTGGAAAATGATACATTCAGAGGATCTATGAAGATGATTTTTAAAAATTGTGGAAAGTCTTGGTAGCCCAAGGTTTAAGACAGTATGTAAGCCCTACTTCTTATCAAGTTTCTCTACTGTGAATTGAAAACACTGAATAAAATGGAAAGTGATCTTGTAAAATAAATTCATGTGATCTTATGCAATGGTGTGAAACAACTATTGGTCTCTTTTCATTATATTAGGTCACCATAACACAAATTACAATTCTCACGTTAGTCATTTAAAACATTACCACCTAGGAAAACAAGTAATTTCACACCAAATAAAAAATAATCACATGTAATTGAAGCATAGAAGTTTTCTTCCATTAAACTTAGACGATATATGGTGTAGTTGTGCAATCAGATAGCGTGTAACTAGCTGTAAAACAATGTGAAAGGAATCGCCTATTTTTCGAGTTCAATGTTCAATAGAACGTTTTTACTAAATTAAGCGCCTTTCATTTTATTTTACTTTGAATAAAATGGTTAAACCAAGAGAAAAATAAAATGTTCATCTCATATTTTGTTTAATTTTTGTCGTGAGAGATTCACTGTCAGATACAAGGTACCAACCAACCTCTCTGTTCTGTCAATACCTAGGTATCCTGAGCCTAGTACACCTTTTGCTTGTGAATGATTTCCCACATTAATCTCAACATCGATGAAAAGGAATGAATAGGCATGTATTGAGAACACTTTTTTTCCCTTGGGTTAGTAGTGGAACGTAGAGCTTCACTAACACGCCTCCATTCCACCCTTTTCTATGCAGTCTTTTCAACCTGGCGACACAACTGCCCATAAACTTTCATTTCTTCCTCACATGATCTCCTCCATGTCACCTTCGCCTCGGACGCCGAAGCCGTCGTCTCCCATCTGGGTTCCACTCGAGTGCCTTGCCTGATGCGTGATGTCCCCGAATGGTCTTCTCAGTACATGCCCAGTCCAATCCATCTCCATTTCCTTCTACATATTTGTTGAGCGATGGATTCTTGCTTCGTTGGTTCGTTCCCAGCTAGAGTTCCTTGTTGCTTATTCTCGTTATTCTGGCCATCTGATCTCATCTTCAGTAGGCAGCTATTGATGAATGTCTGTAGTTTTTTAGAAATGCTTTGCGTGACACGCTAAGTTTCGGAACTATATATCAGCACTGACTTGACTGGCATTGGTGTTGAAAATCCGGATATTGTTCACGTTTTATGCTGAGTGCAATAGAAATCCGCACTGATTTCAGATTACTGAAAGGCTGTCTTGCTGTATTTCCAACTCTGGCTAGTTTTGACATCTTCGTCTGTACCTGTGCCGCCTGTAGTTGAAAAGATGCTGCCTAGTTAGGTGGATGAAGGAGGCTACTTCCTTTAGATTTCGTGCGAATATATGAACACTATCTTGCATATCTATACAAAGGAGAGTGCAAAAGTGACGATGTATATATTTCACTGTGGCCATGACTACGATTGGAAACCATTAGAAAATGATTCATCGGAGAGGAAATTTTCTTCGTTGAATTGTTTTTTTATGAATTATGCAAAATTTATAGCCTTCATAACAAGAAACACTGTTCTGTGATGTTGCTTTACAGAAAAATAACGCACTGATATTGAAAAATGATTCACGTCATGATGTATAGAATATAACTTTACTGAAATAAGTAAAATTCCATTAGGATCAGAAGCTGATGTCATCCAAAATATTTGAAGTTGGTATTCATCATGTAATGACATCACATGGAGGAACATTGGACACTTGGAAGCAGTGGACAATTGTCTTATTCTGATTGTGTGGGACTCCTCAGCAATGCGCACCCATAACCCCACCCACCCCACTAAAGGTCGAACTCAGGACGTTCAATTCCAGTGGCCAGCACGTTACTACGGAGCTAGCCCTTGGGTCGTAATCCAATGGTCTCCATTTTCCACTTGTGTCATTTCGTAATATAGTGCGACCTACATCCACTGCTATTGTGGTTGAGTAAATGTCCTCATGTTCGAATTGCTTGACTCCACTGACTTCAACTTCTAATTAGAACTTCAGGAATCACCTCTGGAATCTAGTCACCAATGAGCACCAGGTGGATTTATTGGGAATTTATTCTTGAAATTCTAATGAGAAGTTGTGACTGATGAGGCGAACCTGGTGAACGTGTTGACAATATTATCAACGATAACACTAGCCGATGGTCGCGCTTTGTCGTGAATTAACAGAAGTAGGAATTATGGACTACTGGATTCCAACCCAGTGGCTCAATAGTAACGTGTTGGCCATAGACCCGGAAGGCACTGAGTTCGACTTCCGGTGGAGGGGGGGTTATATGTGTACACTATCGAGGAGTCCTAGAAAAGTGGGACGACACAGCTGTACAATACTTCCAGGTTTTCAGTGTCAGTTCATGATTAATACGAAGTTGGAAAATCACTAAATCCCCCCCCCCACCACCACCACACACACACCTCTAAATTATCTAAAATGTCGAGTCAA